CAGACTTTCGGCCTCCATAACTGGGGGATGGTACACAACTGCTGTATTAAGCCACCCAGTTTGTGGTACTTTGTCATAGTAGTCCTAGTACCAACAGATTTCTCAGACTGTGAGCTCCAATGTATAAATGTGCATAATCCTGTGTTAACTGCAAGATTGTTGCAAAAAAGGTAAAATGTTATTAGATGAGACAAGGTATGTAAATTCTGGGACACAAGAGGGGCTGTCTGTGGTGTTATCATCTTCATCATCACTACAACCACCACCCCGACCAGCATCACCACCACCCTCCTTGAGGGCCCTTTCTCCTGAGAAGTCTTGCTTTCTCTTTCTGTATTCTTGACATTTTTATACAAAGCTTATGTGATTTTTAAAATAACAATAAAGTCATTTTGCTTAACTGTGGATGCCCAGGCCCACCCTCAAAGGTTTTTGATTCAGCATGTCTCTGGAATGAACTTTATTTGAAGGTGTCCAGACATGAACTGTCATTAAGTTTGGAAAGTGCAACAGAATTGATGTGGTGGACCTGGTATTGGTATTCCTGTTCTATAAACACAGAAACTGAGGTCAGAGGAAATTGAACCCGAGTCAGAAAACGAAAAATCGAATAATTTTGGGGGGCTAGACTTCAATAACTTCACTTGTTTGATGAAATGTGAAACTCAACTAGTAGGGAAAAGGCCAGATAATGAGGACTCTATAATACATAAAATATGGGAGACGGCCCAGAATTAGGATTAAGAACACATGCCTTGGAAATCAGGCAGGTTTAAAAACGTTCTAGTTGTGGTACATGCTTTCTAGCTATGTGAACTTGGAAAAAATTATTTCTTTTAAAATCTTTTAAGATCTCAAGCTCATCTTCTGAAAATGAGATGACACAGATCTGGGTTCCTGTGAAAGGTAAATGTCATGTTGAGGAAGGTAATACACAGTAAGTGCTAAAGAAATAGTGTACTTTTGCAAACATGCATCAATACTTCAAAAAAATCAACATCTTTATCTTTTGCTATTGTTTTGAAGGTACAAATGTAGGGGGAAAGAAGGTCCATAGATGAGAACTAGTAACTAACTTTAGAAAAGATGTAATTGTTTATGTTTTCCTAGTAGCTTGCTAATTTTTTTTTTTTCCTGAGAATAACCTTTCTGGGATCCTTCTTATTTACATTTTAGCGAATGTCCTTGTACCTTGTTATTTTCCAGTTTAACATCAACAGGTCACTTACCAGAACATGTGAGAACAATTTTTAAGAGTTCCTGGTAGCTAACAAAACCTACGTGTTTATGGATGCTCTTTATGCGTTAGGATTTTCCCAACCAGTAGTGCCTAACAGGATTTGTTCCCTGCGACACTTGGAACATCTTACTGTTTTCTTCACCAGGCTTCAAGATTCTGAGCAGGTGGAAACCCAGAAAGGAATGCTTTCTTGATGTGGACATTCTGACATCAGCAAAGGAACTGGGCACACATTCAACAGCCAAGAAACAAGACGGGAAGCCAGTTTGCACAAAATTGCCTCTTTTATTTGCATGTCATTTAAACCACTGTGGACTGACATCCTAGGGGAAACAGCCACCCTACTGAGTCTGTGCTACTTTTCTGAGACGTGATATGTGCCTCAGCCATCTGGAACAAACTGGGCTGTTTCTCCACATCATCTTCCTCACCAAGCTCTAGGGCAGGACCCTTGGCTCCCGGGTCCCACTCGTGACTGTATCATCTGGGATGCAATGAACAGGAAGCCCAGGAAGCGGCTTGAGCAGAACAGTCCACTTGCAGCCAAGTCTGCAGACACAAGCTCCAGTGATGCCCGAGCAATTTCACCCAGAACCTGGGCTCTCTCTTTTCCCACCCCGCCTCCCTCAGCAGCTTGTTTCATCACTTCACAACTGCGAGGCTGCCTCAGTGCAGGGAATCTCACTTTCAGCCCTACTTCCTGGGGAGGAAAGGCTGGGGGAAGGCCCAGAGCCCCGCCCCATGCACGCCCAGCTTCAGCAGTAAAAGAGATTATTCCCAGCCACCCTGCCCAAGCGAGAGCTCTCTTTTTCTCTCTGGGACCAGAACTGGGTCACAGGGCCTCCCTGGCTGTCAGAAACTCAAGGCAAGTATGACTGAGATTTTCTGGCAGACTGGAGGGAGGCACTCGTGACTCATCTCCTGGGCTGCCCTTACTGCTTCCCTGAAACTCAGAGTCTGATGATTAAAGAGGTGGAAGGCCACAGCAGGGAACAGAGTTAACTCTAGTGCATTCCCCTGCTGCTGTTTCCTTTTCCTGCATTCCTGAACTTCTCTTTTCCACTTCTGATATCCTCAAGCTCCTGGATAGAATCAGCCCTGGGGTGGAGAGCTGGAAAAGGTCACAGCTGAGGGGTAATGTCTGACTCGAGTGACCTTGCACCAGGATCCCTACTGGTCACCTTGGAGGAATTAAGTGAAACGAGGAGCTGATCTAGGTTATTTGAACTTGGAGGAGGTGGATTTGTATAGACTTCCCAGGTGGCACAGCAGTGAAGAACCCGCCTGCCAATGCAGGAGACATGGGTTTTCCCTAGGAAGGGAAGATGCTCTGGAGAAGGAAATGGCAACCTACTCCAGAATCCTCGCCTGGGAAATTTCATGGACACAGGAGCCGGCATGGGGTCACAAGTCCGACACAACTTAGCGACTAAGTAGCAACAACCTGTACACCAGAACAGCTGTTCCTGGAACAGCGGAACAGCTGTTCACCTCAGAACTCACAGAGCTTCTCTGTCCTGGCTCCAAACTTACCCTGATCCTGGGCCTGTGGTGCTATCATCGGGAGTCTGCAAACCAAAGTAGCAGGCTCGCCATGCCCACTGCTCTGCTCTGCCAAGAAGGGACAGTGATGCCTGAGGATGGAGGGGAGGGGCTCCCGGGCTCCTTCCTTCCTCCCACATGCGGCTTCAGGGAGCCTCCCTCCGCTGCTCCTTCACCCCATTAGCAGCGGCAGAAGCCGCATGCAGCTTTCCTAACACCTGAAGTTCCTGCTTGGTCGGGTGGACATTGAGACCAGAGCACTGGTAGAGCAGCAGTTCCTCTTGGTTTCTATACTGTGATAATCCGGAACTCCTTCCAGTCCCCCAGGCAGAGGCAGGAGCACTTCCGGAAGCTACTACCTGGGTGACACTTTAAGAGTTCTTTTTTCACCCTTTCTATGACCTGGGTAACAACTCTGTATGTGTTCAACTCTACGTTAAATTATACTGGTACGATTTCCATCTCTGACCTGACTTGACTCAGGGGCATTACCGTGAAGCCACAGGCAAAGAAAAGGTCCTGAAATATCCTCGGTTCCCAACACTAGAGCTGCCTGCTCTGGCAACAGTCAACTTTACTAAGCCTCCAGAGAGGGCAGGTGAAGCCACTGCTTACCATCACATTGAGGCCCTGAACACACACATAAACCCACATACCCACACCCACACCCCGCCACCCCTCCCCCCAGGATGCTCCCGAAGGACCTGAGCACCCACCTTTTCCCGGGGCCCCTTTCTAAGCAGGAGGCCTCCCTCAAACAAGAAGCAAACAAGGCCTGTCTTGTCACCACCTATTCTATTGGTGAGTTAGTATGTCTTCATTTCGACATTGAGGAGTGGAATGGCTGAGTCATGTGACAGTCCCTTAACTTTCTGAAAACTTGCCAGACTGTTTTCAAAGACAGCTCCACCATTTTCCATTCCCATCCGTGACATACTAGGCTTCCAGTTTCCCCATGCTCTCACTTCGGTGTCATCTCTTATCTGTATTTTTGACTGGAGCCACCTCAGGGAGCATGAAGTGATATCTAAAGGAGATTTTACATCATATTTCTCTTACTGCTAATGATGTACACCATCTTCTCATGTACTTACTGGCCACCTGTACATTTTCTTTGGAAAAACTCTATTAATATCCTTAGGCTTTGATATCTATTTTGCTTCTAGAAAGATAGCTCTGTGTCAACTAAGTGTATCCTGCATTTTAGGTTAGGATTTTGTCTACAGAAAGATAGGTCTTTATCTATTGTAGTAAGTTTATCAAGGCTTTGAAAGAGTTACATCTACTCAGGTGAGCCAACCGGCCACCTACAACCTTATCCATGAAGACAGAGAAACCACCCTCCTAGAACCAAGTTACCTATTTCTCGCTCCTCTTTCAGAAACTGAATCTCTTTCCTTCAGGGCACTGTTACTTGCAGAAATCCAAAACCAAAACCAGACGAAGCGAGAGCTGCTGACCACTACCCTCCAAACCAGGGCACAGATGCTAATCTATTTCTTAGCCGTGGCAGGCTTCCGGCTGGCTACCTACTGCAGAGACAACATTTAATTCTCTCAACCATCTTAAAGAATATATACTATTAGGATCTGCGTCGTGCAGCGACAAAGCCGAGGTTCGGGTGACTTGGGCCATTTGCTTAACAGCCAGAAGGCCAGAAGGTGCAGCCTACAGAGGTCACTCCAGAGCCCGAAATCTTAAACTCCGCACGCACCTTTCTTATCCCGAGACGCTCAGACGATTCCTCGGGGTGGCTCGGGGCCCACGAGCCCGAGTTCATCGTTTCCCGCCTTAACGGCGACTATGGTAACGCTGTAACTGACGGCGCGGGAAGGTGCAGGCACCGTCCCCAGAAGCATTTCCTCCTGGCAGTCCAGAAGGACCAAAACTGCAAGCGGCCCGCGAGCAGCCCCCGGCCGGCCCAGCTCAGCCCAGCCCAGCCCAGCCCAGCACTAGTACCCTCTTCCCGCCAGGGATGCCGGCCTCGGGGCAGGAGGCGGGGGCTCGCCGTCGCCCGCAGCCTTTCCTCGGAAGCCTCTGTCACCCCCGGGTACTTCACGTCCCCGCGAAAGCACCTCAGACCCCGGCCCCTCTGCCCAGGTCGCTCCCATTTGCTCCGCGGTCTCCCTAACCCCAGCCGCAGCTCTCCGCTTCCGCCTCGTGCCCGCCGGAAGTGACGAATCGGACGCGTCGCTCTTCCCACGGGGGGGGGCGGGGAAGGAAGATGGCGGCGCCCAGCAGCCGGTGAGGAGAGAGGACACGGGGCTCCCAGGGGGCGGCTGGATTCTTGCGAGATGGCCGCATCGCCGCATACTCTCTCCTCACGCCTCCTGACAGGTACTGCACCCCACCTCGGGCACGGATTAGGGGGAATTCTCTTCTCGTTGCCACGTGCTACACCGTGGTTCCGCCTGTCTGCAACCTTGGGAGCCCTTGGCGAGGTCGGCTGGGGCATCGGTGAGGGAAGTGACCTTCGGGGCGGCCTGAAGTGAAGGGGCCTCGGAGCTAGGGCCTAGTCTTGCATTGGGGTTCCGGTGGTCCGCACACCGCGTCCGTCTCCTAGTCCCCGGAGGTGGGTAGGGGACGCGATGTCTGGTGCTTCTTTCAGTTTTCAGAGGCTGGAGGCTCAGGACAGAGGAACCTGGGGGGGGTCCCCGAGCCTCTTGGCTTCTCAGGGCCTTAGGTTCTAGCGATGTGCAAGTTACTCGTACGTTGCACTTGTGAGGACCTGGCAAGTGCTTTGCTTCCCCGCCGCCCCCCGGCCCCCGCCCCGCGCCGCCCCAACCCGGAAGCCTTGTTCCAATATAAAGGGTCATGATGACAATAATAAAAACGGTGATCACCTCGGACTGCGGGCCGTAACCATCCCTCGCCCCCCAGGCTTTTGTCTTTCTACCATTAGCGTGGTCCCTGATATAATCCCACCAGGCCAAGGACCTGTCACGATTACATGTTTAATGTAGATGTGCTTTCTTGCCTTTTGGCTGGGTCTCAGCTCAAATGTTTCCTGTTAAGAGAGTCCTGAGCACACTATCTAGGTAGAACCCCCGCCCCTCTCTTATCACATCACCCCGTTCCTTCATCATGGTTAGAACAGCCTTTAATTGCTTACTTATAACCGATTTACTATGTGTTTCTCCCAACTGCAAGATTGAATCTTGTAAAGGCTGGGACAGCTTCTCTCTGGTTCATCTCTGTGTCCCCAGTGCCTGAAACAATACCTGGTGTGCATTGTTGGTGCTGAGTAATTATTTATGAATGAATGAAATTTGTCCTGATGGAGACATTAAAGTGGAGGTTGGGCATTCTTTTGTCCCCAGTAGTTTAGGGTGATAACTGATGTGTGAGAAATGTGTCACTGGTTGTCCGTATTCAAGATGGACTCCCTTTGGAAATCCCAGAAACTTTTTTTATTGGCTGAGCCACGGGACTTATGGGGTCTTAGTTGCCCAACCAAGGATCAAACTGAGGCCCATGGCAGTAAAAGAATGGAGTCCTCAACGCTGGAGCTTCAGGGATTCCCATCTGGCAATGTTGATCACAATTACTCTGAAATTCCTTTCTCTTCTTTTCTCCTAATATTGTTATTCTGTGTGTCTCTTTTGGCTGTGTGATCTCAGGGCATAGCAACTGTTTTATCTGGAATTGAGTTTACTCGTCTATAAACTGGGGCTGTTCAGCTAGATTCTCTCAAAGGTCTCTTCTGGTTCAAAGGTCGCGAGGAGGGTGAGAAGTGGGAGTGTGTATAGATGATGAAAACAAGATTGGCCAAGATTTGAGCATTGTTGAACCTGGGGGATCAGTAATGGGGGCTCATTGAATTCTTCTGCTGTTGCATATGATTGGAATTTTCTACGATGAAACATTTTATATGAAAGGTCTGTGGTTCTTTTTGAACTTGTTACCTTCTCCCATCCCTCACTGTGAATGTTCTATTCTGACCCTAGACAGTCAGTCTCAGACCTTCTTCCATCCCTGACTGTGAGTGTTCGATTCTGACCTTAGATACTCATTCTCAGAGAGCTCATCCATTCTTAGTGCTGGAATTATCTCCTCTGTAGGGAGGTTTATTCCCAGCTTGCATTGCTCAAGATGGGGTGCTTTTCTGCTTTCATTTCTGTATTTTCAGCTTCCTATAGGATAGATCTACCTCACTACTCAGAATTTCCCAGTTTAGGAAGTGGGCTGCTTATGGTTCAAATGGCTTGTTGCTGGATCTGTCTTTTTGATGCTGGTGTGGGAGGAATTAATAGACAGCTTGGCTTCCTTGAAGCTATGAACCAAAAGATCACCAAAAGATCTGCTATTAAGTGGTCTGTGCAGCCTGCTATGATACACTTGGAAGATGTACTCTAAGCGCTTGGTATGGAAGCTGCATGGTGGGAAGTGGGCAGAAAGGTACACTGGGACTGTATCAGGTGTCTACATGCCCTCCTGGGTTTGGTCATGCCCGACTGTTCTTCCAAAGCTTAGCAGTGTTTTATAGCCGTTGAAAACTTTCAGAACCTTTCCGTCTCATATCCACGCACTTCATTTTTAAAGCCCTACAATCTTGACTCAGTGTTGATGGTGAATAGTGGATGTGATCGTTTGTGTCCAGATTTTTAATGCATTTGTTATAAGCCATGTATCTTCAAACCTATATTTCTTGGCACGCGGCCAAAATGTCTTTAAATTTCTGCACACTGATTGTTGTGACTAAATGAATTGTTTTCATCATATAAAAGTGCTGTTTCCAAGCTGGTTTGTTTTCCATAAAGTCTGATTTTTAATCCACATAATCTCGAGAGATATTTTCCAAGATGGTTCTTTTCCTCCCAGGAACATACATTTCTCATTGGACCAGTGGAACTCGCAACTGGTTTTGAAATTAAGGCATAGAACGGTGAAACTTGGTGTCTTCTTGACATAATCTTTTAATATTGAAATCTATTGTCCCAAAGAACAATGTCAAAGCAAGAAAGAAAAAATACATACCATCAAAAAAAAGATAGACTATCAGAGGACTAAATTCAAAGGAAATTTCAATCAGTAGACTGATTTCAACACTACTGTTCTTTCCTATACATGTATACAGACGTATACATGAATCCACGTATTCATGGATGTGGAAAATAAGCATGTCGTATTTACCTGAGTGCTGAGGATATGATTTCAGTGAAGAGGGACCTTATCTCCAGTCTAAGATAATTGCCGTGGTTACCATAGGGTGGTGATAGCTCTCCTTCCCCCTGTCCAGGTGAGCGATGTGGGTGACCCAGTCATCAGCCCTTATCTCATTCTTATATGGAAGACAGTCTGCTAGCTGTTGTAGCAGAGGTCAGGACAGAGTCCCCGCTTTCAATGAACTAAAAAAAAAAAAAAGATGTAGAAACAGTCTGCATTAAGAAGTGCTACAAGAAAAAGTATAAAATGATAGAGTACTTGAAAGAAACTATTTGACAGGCAGAGTGGAAACAGGATGGTGCAAGCAAGGAGATGCATAGACAAAAATGAACAAACTGAAATCGTGGGGGCAGGGCAGTGAGTCACATGTACGTGTTTGGGCAAATGATGTGTATTCTGGGCTTCAGAAAGAAACCCTCTGGTTCTGTGGGACTGGGATTGGAGAGGAAAGAAGTTAACCAAAGTCAGGACGAGTGGTTTGTATCCCATAACTCTACAGTATCAAAGTGTGAGATGATAAGGGTCTGTATCTCTCAGTGGCAGGGAAAGAAGTGGACAGATTTGACCAGTGTTTCCGAGTTGACTGGAGCTGATGGTTATTAGGTGATGAAGGAAGAGTTCAAGGTGGTCTTGGAATCTCAAGTAGGCGATGGTTTTATCTGCAGTAGAGGGCAGAGTAGAGATAAGGGTGAGACTAAAGTGTTCTGAGAGACGTATTACAAGCCATCCACGTAGAGATCCTCAGCAGATGGAAACAGGCATAGCAACTCTAGAAATGGCTTGAAGATTAAAAATTACCCTAGGGTTTCAGGAATGGAGAAGTGATGGGTGGCTGAGAACCAGGAGTCCTTAGGGTCATGGAAGTCACAGGAGAAAAGACTTAAAAGAAGGGATGGTGGGGGTGGGGGGTGGGGAGCTGTCTGTTCTGTGTTCCTGTTGGAGGCTTTCCCAGGATGGGGCTTTACACAGAAGCACTGGGTTTGTTGATGTTTGAGAGAAGGTTTAGAGATGAATGACTAAAAGCCACATTTAGATACACCGAAAATAGCTTCTTCCTAACTAGCTTGATAGAGTCATAGTTTAGTGAGAGCAGTTTCCTCTGTCTTTTAGTTGACTTACCCAATATGGCCAAAATATTAATCTGAAATTTATCTTCTGGTTTACTCTTATTTCCTGGAGGAGGAAATGGCAACCCGCTCCAGTATTCTTGCCTGGAGAATCCCATGGATGGAGAGGACTGGTGGGTTACAGTCCACGGGGTCGCAAAGAGTCGGACATGGCTGAGCGACTTCACTCACTTTACTCACTCACTCTACTTATTGAGAAAAATTTGGCTTCTCATTTTATCCTCGTTAGAAAGTGACCAAGCTATTCTCTAAGAGATTGATGGTTTGGTCATTTCAATGTTTGATGTAATAAAAGCATAATTATCCTGAGGGCTTCCCTGCTGGCTCAGACAGTGAAGAATCTGCCTGCAATGCAGGAGAGCTAGGTTTAATCCCTGGGTCAGAAAGATTCCCTGGAGAAGAGAATGGCTACCCACTCCAGTATTCTTGCCTGGAGAATTCCTTGGACAGAGGAGCTTGGCAAGCTACAGTTCATGGGGTCGCAAAGAGTTGGACATGACTGAGTGACTCACACTTTCACTTTTAATGATCCTGAGATGAACAAGTTCCCTAACTGTGCTGGAGAATTATATTCGGACAGTGCGCAGGGCCAGTTGATAACCGTTCATTCATGAGTCTGGATCAGATCATTTCCGAGTTCTGACCCACCGCTCATGCACTGCCCACCACAGTGTTGCTGACTCTCCTTCTGGGCAGGTCCACACATCGCTTGGTGAGACGTAATGGCTGTTTAAATTTTTTCCTCTTTCTTTGACAGGCTGGGGAGGAGGATGCATCTGGTATCTAGAAAGAGGAGCCACGCGGCAGTCCCCTCGTAGGTTCCTGCATCTTCTCAGGAACGTCAGTCAGCAGCGGGTCACATTTCAACACTTTAACTTCCTCCGGCGCATGGTAGGTTCAGAAGACCATGTTCACTGGGCTCTCTGCCTTCACTTTCCCTGTACGAGGGGATTTCAGAAATTCCTGTTGTCAGAAGAGCTGCAACAAGTACTCTATGAAAAAGACTTTTATTTCCTGCCCTCTTAAGTTTTTCCACAATGTTAATCCCTTGTTTTGATTATACTTAACTGAAACCAGAATAACTCTGGTGTCTTGAGTTTTAAAGTATGGTCTCAACCTTATTGATTAAGTCTGGAGAAAGATGGAAAGCTGCTGGCATGTTTTGAGTAGGCCACAGTTAGGAAAAGCTGAACTGTTATAATTCATCTTTTTATATTCTTTAAAGTTCTGTGAATACATCAGTAATACAGAAATAATTGCTTCAAGAGTAGGACCTCCCTGTTATCTTACATCAGCAGTAAGAGTCAAACATGCACTTCTGAACAGATTCAAACAAATTGAGTTCTTGTGATTTTCTGGCATTTTACAGTGGGCATTCATAATGTAGCTCAATCTGTTTGTAGACCTTGGACCAGGTTGACTTCATGTTGTCGTCAGCATGGTAACTTACATTTGCCACTTTCTCAGATCATAAAGTATTGTAGAATGAAGAAACCACAGCTAAAAACTCATAATTTCAGTGCATGAAAGAATAGCAAATTCATAATCTGAAGCCCTATTTGACATTTCTTTTATCTTTTTTTTAACCTTACAATGTCCATTTTAGCTTTTAAAATCTTTTAACTTAATAAAACTCATTTTGATGAGAGATTTTAATTTCCAATAATAATCAGGCTTGTAAAGTTGGGGATGGAGGATAATGGATATTTAGAAGACAAACTCAAATACATAGGATGCTTTTTTTTTATGTAAACAGAACTCTGAATTCATTCCTGAGTTAGTAACTCCTTCCTCAGACAAGTGTATGTAATTTCAAGCCTTTGCAATGTAATTGGAAAAGGTCACTTAGCTAGTTATCAGGAAAGGGCTTTAGTCCTAGGAGCACCTGTAACTAACTAGTTTTCTATTCTTGGCTCTGTCAAGTTGTTTCCAAGCCTTGGTTTCCTCATTTGAAAATTAAGGCACAAGATACTAGTAACGATCTGTCTTCTTTCACAATTTTTGAGAAGACTGAATGAGATATGTCTCCTGTAAACTCTAACGGTGTATGTTGTTTAAAACTGTAGAGTGCCTCATGGATGTTAGCCACAGTTACTCCTTTTTGCTAGTAAGTGACAGAGGTTGTCTGAGTCTTCAGCCCAATTCTCTCCACACACCCACTGCCCTGATGGTCCTGAGCCCTGAGTTGTGGCCCCCTTGGAGCCTCTCTTTGCATTGCTCGCTGGGCAACAAGGAAAGTCAGCAGGTTGACTTGGGCTTTTGAGTCTAGAAAACGTTTGCACTGTATTTGAAATTTTAAACCTGCAACTTCTGAGTCTATGTTGGGGCAAATCCTGGGGGAGATGAATAAGAAATCAGTTTATCTTTCTTTCAGGGAACTTAAATCCCTAGGATTTTTTCTAAGTCATAGAATCTGAAAACCAGTTAATTGTCCTCTCCATATCTTAGTAGAGTGATCCCCACGTAACATACTCTAATAGGAGTTATTTCAGCAAGTATTTATAAAGGTGCAGGAAAATCTTTCTAAGTACTGTAGAAGTCGGACTGATGTAAAGTGTTACTGAACAACCACTTAAGAGCATTTTGGGTCGCAGTTTCATAAGTTATGTGTACTTTTTTTTTTTAATTCAGTATGTCACACAACTAAACAGAAGCCTCAAGCAGCAAATAAAACCGAAGCCAGAACCAACAGAATCTCCTTTCCTTGAAAAAACTTCCTTGGATGAGGCCAAAGCCGAAATATGCGAGATGAGACCTCTTGTACCCCCCAGCCTGCCTCTGTCCAGAAAGCCAAGTGAAAAAGCGTTGATAGAACTAGAACCCGCCTCAGTAACTGAGGGCTCCATAGCTCTGGGGAGAGAGACGAAAGAGGAGAAGCAGTGGAAAGAGATGAAACTGCGTGCAGATGATCTGCCAGGAATCCTGGCCCGGCTGTCCAAAATCAAACTCACAGGTACTTGGGATTTCTTTTGGTCTCGTCAGTCTTACTTGAAATTCTTCTTTTAGTTAAACAAACTACTAATTTTATTACTGCCCCCAAAGGAATATTTTAAACTGCGGGTCCTCTTTTAGTATTTTTTCCTCTCTTCAACTTAATTGGGATTTGAAATCAAATTTTTGGAATTTTGTTTATGCAGAATTGTGAATAGTATTACCCTGAATATATTGTGGGCTTCCTTGGTGGCTCAGTGGTAGAGAATATGCCTGCCAGTGCAGGAAACCTGGGTTCGATCCCTGGATGCAGTGGATCCCCTGGAGAAGGGAACGGCAACCAGCTCCCAGCATTCTTGCCTGGAGAATTCCTGTGGACAGAGGAGCCTGGTGAGCTACAGTTCATGGCGTCGCAAGAAAGTCATACACAACTGAAAGACTAAACAACGACAAAACATTGTCCTAAAAAGAGTCTTTCTTTTACTTGCAGTTAAACAGAATATCTGTCCTGTTTGTTTCCTTTGTTTTGTGTGTTTACACCTGCTGTCCTATAAAGACGCAGTAAAAGAATGCATCCCGATTCAGTTCTGAAACCAGGAAGGGCCGCATTGCTGGGCTTGATGGGCCGTGAACCCACAGGCGCTGGGACCCCCAGCTCACTGCTGTGGTTGCTTCTCATAGGGCCTCTGGGATTGTCCCACGTACCCAGGGATGTAGATTGCTTCTCTGCAAAGAGGTTTGGTACCTGATGTTTTTGCCAAAGCCTAGCAGACTGCACCAAATTTTATTGTATCTGCTTGGGTATTAACCCATGAGTCATATCGTTTGGTTGTTACAGCCACCCTGGGAGTCTGGCCGAGCTTTATTGTCACCTCATCTCATAGTTCAGCCTCAAAATGGCTTATTCTGTGCTAATCCTGTTAGAAGGCATGTTCTGGCCCACCCTGCAGACTGAACACTTGGTCTCTCCTTTCCTTCTTGGGTAAGAATGGTGGTGGTTCAATCGCTCAGTCGTCTCTGACTCTGCGACCCCATGGACTACAGCCCACCAGCCTCCTCTGTCCATGGGAATTCCCAGGCAGGAATACTGGAGTGGGTTGCCATTTCCCTTCTCCAGGGGATCTTCCTGATCCAGGGATCAAACCTGCGTCTCCTGCATTGCAGGTGATTCTTCATCACCAGAGCCACCAGACAAGCCCTTGGATGATAATAAGGTGAAGAATATAGGTGGGCAATGGGTAGATAATATAGTTAAACTACCTATTCTTCGAGGACAGAAAGTGGTCAGTAATGTTACTGAAGCAGAATTGGGAAAGGAACAGATGAGACAGAACATTTTCGGAGTAGAGAACATCAGGGAGAAAGTAGTGCTTGTTTGTTTTTCAAGAGAGTTGAGCCTGAAATTTAGGGTAGAAGGAGGTAAAGAAATGACTTCTTTCCTCAGCCACCAAGCTCACTTTAAGTCTTTTTTGGGGGATGACAAATAGACACAGGAATTTGATGAAGGAGCCGAGGAATCACAGTAAGACTTGCACAATGTAACTAACAGTGAGCTTGATCGCAGGTGCTGTCTCTGTGTCTCATGATGGCTGAGCAGTCATCACATTCCTGCAGAAGTTATCTTGTGTCACTTACACAAGCAGTGTGCGAATCATGTGTTGACATGTTAAGAATGACCCCAGATAGGATCATAAGGATGTCACCCCCAAGATGAGACTGCTTTGTCTGCAGGTGTTGGAAGTGAGTTCCCCCAGCAGCAGGACCATCATTCTCTGTGTGCACTGCAGTATTTCCCTCCTGCCCAGCACATTACTTCTCTTATCACCCCACTTCTGTCAGTAATACCAGCATTCTTCACTTCCCCCAGATGGGAAACCCTGGAGTCAGGCTTAATTCTTTGCTCTCCATTGAGAGCATCATCTCTAGTCTCACCTCCTCTGTTAGCCCTGCGAGGTTCCGCACCCCCTCTCCGCAGGCTGAGGTCCAGAACCCCTGAGGCATCTGGTCCTAACTACCCTCTCTGTCCCATCTTCCTGCCATACTGACTCTCCTTTTCTCATCTACTCATAACCCACTCAAGAGTACCTTCCCTTCACAGTGCCTCCTGCCTGGACTCTGCTCGAACTTAAAGGAACGTGGTAACCTGGAATGATTAAGCTCCTCCCCAGAGAAAGGCTTTTTCCCTTTCCCCTGTCCCCCATTTCCACCCCTGTCCTAGCAGCTGGGCAGGTCCCTCCTCCCCACTGTGCTCCGTCCTCCTGCCTCCTTGGGGGCCAGTCTGCACCCATATCCAGTCAGATCCTTTCAAGGGTTTTCCCTTAGTCCTGCTTTGGCCTGCTCTTGGCAGTCAATAAAGAACATCAGCATTTCATCCATCATATGCATGAAAATATTTCTGTCATTTTTTGCTTTTCCTGTTTATGATGTTTACTTGGTGATGCTTTGTTCTGTTTTATTTTGCCCCATTGGAATTTTTAACTTTCATGTATTAAGCCTTACTAGTTTTTTTAATGCTTAGAAATATTTTCACCACCCTGAGGTTATAGAAGCCTTCACTTGTGTTTTTTTCAGGCACTTCTGCATTTTTACTATATTCTTTTAAGGTTCGGGGACCATGTCAAAGGTATTTCACTCTAAGGTGTAGGGGTGATTGAGAAACTGATGATAGCACTGTTGATCGAGGCTTGCCTCTTTTTGTAAAAAAAAGTTTTATTGGAACATAGCCACAGCTGTTGGTTCTGTGCTCATGGCACACTACCTCCGCAGACTTGAGTCATTACCTCAGAAAAGTCATGACCTGGAAAGTGAGTGTAGTGACCTCTGGGCCAGAGTCCCTGCTCTCAAGTCATTGCTCTAACTAGTTCAGTGACCTTGAGCAAGTTCCATATGTCTGTGCCTCAGTTTACCCATCTGTAAAGTGGGATTAGTAATGATAACTTACTTACTAGAGCTGTACTGAGTGTTAAATGGAATGACATCTGGAAACTGCATAGAATCGACCATGTTAAAACCTATACACTCATTTCTTAAATAAAAAATAAATTCATCACCCGGGTGATGTAACTTGCAGGCCCTTGAGTTTGCTGCTCTGTCCTTGGAGAACTTCCAGCCCTCTGCTTGGAAGACTGGATGGATGGTTGTGTTGAGACTTAAGAATGGCAATACCGAAGGGAGAAGAACCAGGTGTGAGGGGAGCGCAGCACTGGACACACAGAATTGGAGTTGCCCAGGGAGCGCTAGCCGTGAAGGATGGGACCCCCAGGCGGGAAGAGCCTGGGGTCTTCAGCACAGGGTTGACCTGAAGCCATGGCGGTGGGCAGGTCAGGTGTAAAGTGGCCAGAGCAGAAAGCCAAGGACAAGACTTTGGGGCCTGTTCGCTTTTAAGGACTGGGCAGAGTGTGTAATGGGGCCTGCAAGGGAATATGTGGTCAGAGGAAGGGAAACAGGAGAGGGCCTCATCACGGAAAGGGCCCATAAAGGAAGTGATCAACACTTAGATGCTAGAGGTCTCCTAAGAAGCCTGGCCATGGAGTTGTTTTATCTGGCAGTTAGGAAGTCAGCATTGACAGGCTGCTAAATCAGGAACTAATTATCTGTGTTTCTTCTTCTTAGAGTCTTAATTTTAAATGACGTCTTAAAGTTTGTTTTCATAATGCTTAGTTCTGTAAGGGTGTACGGGAAAGGGTGCCAGTTGGTTTAGGATCAATTTGGGGGGCCAGCGGGGAGCATCTTCCTTCCTTTCGTGTCAGCTGTTAAATTGCTTTTACTGTTCCGTACCTTTAGAGTGTTGTGAATCCAAGCAGGGCTTCATCCTTAGAACATGGTCTGAAATCTCCAGCCATGACTAAATTGCTCTTTTAGTGGCGGTTGTGCTGCATGTAGGGTGTGTGTTGACTCATCAGTCTGCTGAGAAGCATGCATGGCACATGGGTGTGTTCCCATGTGGTGCTTCCTGGACACCATCCCCAGGGATCAGATCCTGGAGCCCGGGGACGGGACCCAGAGGTCTGCACCTTGGCACGGGTGCAGATGATCGCATGCAGGTGGTCCTGGGCCGCCCTTCGGGAAAGCGAGGGAGGCGCCGCGCTGGCAGAGGGCCGGCCCAGACCCCTGTGGTCTGGCGGGCGTGGGGGGCTTGCCGCCTCCTTCCCGTGAGAGCCTGAGCAACCCTGGCGGGGATTGGCATGGGACAGCTGCGGGGGGTGGGGGGGTGAGCGNCTTTGGTGACTCAACCAAGTTAACACTTAATATGGATCAATAAAAAGCAGAAATTTTTTCCTGAATAATGTCTGTGCTGAAAAGCTGCAGCACGTTTTTTTCTGAAACCAGAGCATTAAAATAGTTTGTTTATTGAAGCCAATAGATTAGGCTGTTGACAGAACTGATGTGAACTGTAGCCTGCCAGTTTTTGGACTTCTTTCTCCAGAACCTAGAATGCTGCTTTTTATTAAAAGGAAAAAAAATAAAAACCCCAAGAATAGAAGATGCAGTTTTATTTTAGGTTGCTTATGGTTTTTAAAGGTCAATGTACTGTAATTATCAGCTCTCAGATACCACATAAAGGATTTTTCATATTTTCCTGAAATTATTGTATTATGGTTTCTTAAATTTTAATACATATTTTTAAATAATTACCTTAGTATTTGTATACTTGATAAATGTTAAGGCAGTATTTTCATTACTGAGCTTTACTTTTAGAACAAATAGAAAATACAGAGAAGCCAAAATGGGAAGGATGGGACTCTCCTTATAATTCTAAATATAATCATCCAAGTGATACCTGTTTTGATGATTTTGGTGTATTCTAGAATGTTTTCCTGGGGCTTCCCTGGTGGCTCAGGAGACCTGGGTTTGACCCCTGGGTTGGAAAGGTCTCCTGGAGAAGGGAATGGCTACCCACTCCAGTATTCTTGCATGGAGAATCAATCCCATGGACAGAGGAACCTGGCGGGCTACATGGGTTTCGCAAAGAGTCGGATACAACTGAACGACTAACAGGCACACACAGAATGTTTTTCTATA